CAGAAGATTTCGACGCTCCGATTGATCTCGGAATGATTCACCAGTTCTGGAGAACGCTCGAGATATTAGAGCCAGGTAATTTAAGATTAATGTTTTATTTATAATTTTCTATTAAAATACATTATTTGTTTTAATTCATTGACTTTTTTATCGTATACTTGTAGGGACTGGTCATCCGAGCCAGGCGAGCAACGCTGCATGGTCAGATGCGACGTTCTTTCATACGCTTGTGACTGAGGTTGAAACTCGCGATCCCACGACAATGCGGTACGTGAATAAGTTCATGTACAATCATCTTTACCCAGACCAACAGGATTATGCGGAACCTGAGGTTAAGGATAACCCGCGAGGTCGTCCCAAGAAAACTAATTCAACTAAGCGTAAACCATCTGCTTTTGAGTACAACGAAAAATCGCGAGGTCGGAAATCGAGCCGTACGACCAATTCTTCTCGTGGACAGACAAGTTCGTCTTCTCAACAGTCACAAGGGGATGAAGGTCATACATTTTTTTTTTTTAAATACGGCTGAGCGTTAATTAAAGTATTTATATGATTATATAAATTGTGACGTGAAATTATTATGATGTTTATTGCAGAGTTTAGACCGACAAATATATTTGGATTTTCATTGTGGCAATGTATCCCCTGGCATATGTTGGACTACATAGTGAGTTACCTGAATGTGGAAGCGGATGGTAACTGCGGATTTCGGGTCATCGCGAGTCACATGTATGGTCATCAGAAGTACTGGCCAGATGCAAGAGAAAACATTGCGAAGGAGGTCGAAAACCACCCTGAATTGTACGAGTACATCTATTTTAGAGATATCGAGGCCGTGACTCCGTCGCATAAGGTGGGCCAGAGGCTCTTGTGGAACGACTCATTGGTTCGAAGTTCCACCGGACCTCTATGCCGTTGCGACCCTATTTAATGTGGTTGTCGTTCATTTGAGCTCTGGTCCAAACGGTGGGCAGCACGACTTATTCAGCACCACAGTGTTGCCTCTCACTGCACGATCATCGGCTAGAGGACCATGTCGTGAGATTGCCATTTGCCATCTTGGTACCGTAGAACACTACATTCGTTTAGATTTGACTGATGATTGTCCATTACCGCCTATTCATAGCATGTGGTTCCGTTACCAAGATCAATCGGTTGTGGGTTGGGAGCATCAGTACCTGTCTAGGTTGCAATTGTGGTATACTGTTCAAACAAAACGTTTTTGAATAAAAGAACGATATTATTCAGTTATGGTATGACGCTTCTCATTCAACTTAAGTTTAGCAAATTAAAATAGAAAATCATTCAACTTAATGTTTTACAATAATAATTAAAAAAAAAAAGAACATTCATTACATTATTATTGGGCATTGTCGTAATCCAACTTAAACTTAGCCAGCTGTTCTTCGACTTCCGCCGCCACCGGACAATCGCATCCCTGCTACCAAATCGACGTAATGCCCAAAAGACGGTCCACCCACTAAAAAAATAGAAGAATAAAAACATAAGACTAAAATTTATTAAAAAAAAAAAATGTAATGAGTTAACATTAATTAAAATTTAGTAACCAACTTACATAGGCGGTATTGACACGCGTTGGGACCTCGTCCTCGTCCGGCAGCTCCTCGCCCATGAGAGTCGGATGGGAAACCCGACTGTACCACTGCAGGTAATCCTCAGTCGCCTCCCCGCGATCCTGTGTGGTCTGGGTCAACATACTTGTGTTGACCGTCCCAGACATCGGGAACTGGGTCCAGAGGGATACTGCACCAGCCTCAGAATGCTCAACCTTGTAGTTCCTAGACTCCCAAGCACGTACTGCACTGATTGGCGGGAATATAGGGGGAGGGACAGTCTGGACATACCCCAGCTGACGCAGACACCGCGAAGGCAAGTACGGCTCGACGACATCGCGGTATCGAATCCATCCGCTATAAAGAGTCCTCGGCTCTATCGCATCTGGGCTGGAGCTGCCGTATGGCAACCATTGCACCTGTTCACAATTGCATAAGAGAATTTATAAAAATAATTATGTTATTTTAAATAACGGGTAACTAAATTTAAATAAAATAAATTCACGTACATCGGAGGCAGTGAGTCTGTCGAGGCGCCGACGGATGGCTGTGAGTCGATCGTCTGACCGTGGCGCATTCCCTACGCCCCACGAGCGTGATCGTGCGAGACAGTCAGGACCGATGGGTAGACGCCCTCGGGGTCGGAAATCGGGGAAATACTCATATATCCAAGACTGTAGAAGAGTCAAGCAGCCCGACATCTGGGCAGAGTCCCCTCGGCTGGCAATACCTAGCTGTCTGTACAAGTATGCCAGCGTAGCCGATCCCCATGAGTAACCCTCAATCAAATCCAAGCCGTCGAGCACCTCGTGCAGGAGCTTGGGGGTCACTCTACTACCACTCTTGTCGACGAACAATGTGGTAGCCAGCATCACCCACAGCCAGGCACCCGCCTCATCCCTAGCCGGCCGGTCTTTCCCCCTGAATGCCCCCGAAATGGCGGCTTCGGACACCGAACCACGCTGCCAGAACGAACTCATGAGTTCGCCCTTGGTGACCGAAAGTATCGACATGCAGAGCCCATGGCAGGCGTCCGAATCCGGGTCCTCAGCGACCACGACTCCCTCCACTGGAACGCCCAAAATGGCCCGGACGTCGTGCAGCATGATGCTCATCTCACCAAAAGGCATGTGAAACGAGTTAGTATCCGGCTGCCATCGCTCCACAAAAGCAGAAAGGAGTGGGGTGTCCAACTGGGTGTGCATGGAGTCGACCAAATGTGACAGCCCGGTCTGGTCGAGAAGAGCTCCAGCATCGGAAGACATCTCTTCACGCCAAGCCTTCAGATTATCGATCGCTCGCACTCTGTTGTGGCATTTCAGTAGCCCTTAAATTCCCATTCCACATGCGGGAGACGACGTGCCCAAGAAAGCTAGGGATGACACTCCCATCAATGGGCCCACCGGGCACTGGGCCTCTAATGATCCAAGGTGCATCATCATCGGTCCTAGCTCGTTTGCTAGTACCTGCATTAAAATACAACATATCTGTATATATTGACTTGCTGGCAGATGCATTAAATAAAATATATTTAATAAAACATATTTTATTAGTTACGTTACATTTTACATTTTACGTTTTACGTTATTATTATAAGCATATATAATTTTTAATTATTAATATTATTTTTTGAATTTATAATTAATTACAATTTATACAACTTACCCTAAATTACAAAATAATTATACTGTAGTTGACGAGCAGGCCGATAATACTTTTCTAACAGTACCGATAATTTATGTTAAACAACAATAAATAAGTAAATTATTTACCTGATGAGGATGCAGAAGGGCCAAAACGACCCCCAGCCTGTCGTTGAGGAGCAGGCTGTGTGGGACGAACAGCATGTACCGGACGAACATGCTGTACAATCGGCTGTACCGGACGAACTGGCTGTACAGTAGGACGAGGGTGGATAGGACCCGTAGGCTGTGCGTGGTCCTGATCATCTAAAGAGTCGTCCGAGTCATAGTCCTCTGGACCCGGCTCCCTCTCGCCGTACGACTCATCATCAGCATACCCCTGCTGACCATAAGGTAATGGTACGCGTGCGCGGGGGGGTAACGACTTCCCTGCGAACCGGGGAAAAGAACATCCCGGCTGATCGTACGGTACTGGTGCCGGGGGCATCGTCCTGCCCGCCTGGCCAGGATAATAAAATCCATGTTCGCCGTACGGGATGGCTCCGTGGGGTCGCGAACTACCTGGCTGGCCCTCAAAATGATATGGACCAGTGGGCACTGCTGCGGGTGGGGCGGGAACTCTGGCTCGCCTGACGAAGCTGTACCCTACGAGCCTCATCGATCAACGCCTGCCTTTCCGCGTCCCTCTCCCGACGAACGGACGCATTGACACCCCGACTTCTAGTGTGTCGGGTGCCAGAACCATCATAATAATCATCGTACGCCTCGTCGTCGTCCCTGGCATTAGATTGTCCAGGTCTGCCAACACCCTGAATCAGAAATATAATTATTA